GTTATCATTACCACTATTATCGTTATCGTTATTATTATTATTACTATTATTTTAACATTGTTATTCTATTATTATTGCTAGTCACTGTTGTTGTTATTATTATCACTATTATTATTTTTATTATTACTGCTACCATTGCTATTTTTACCGCTATTATTGTTGTTGTTATTATCGATATTATTACTGTTGTTATTATTATCTTTACTATTGTTGCTGGTATTATCATTATTATCACTGTTATTACAATTAGACATTCACGTCTGAAAAGAAAAACTCCTTTCATCCAGATGAGCATTCAGAGGGTCATGTCTACATCCTCAGGCCCTTTTTCGCAAATTCAAAAAAATTCAAAAAAAATTTTCGCAAATTCAAAAAAAAAAACATGGAACATGTACGTATATATACTAACCGTGTCTGATGGCTTGCTCCTGACAAATTTTACACGTTCCGTGCCTTCTGGACGTCGCGCATCCAGGTCTACGTTTGCAGCAGCCGAAGAGCGGAACAGCGCGATGCCCTGCACTCGCAGGTACACTCCTCGCATCCGAAGTGATATTTGCATGCCCGCAAACATTCGGGTCGTCTTGGACGTCTCAATCAAGCAAAAGCTCCTGGATCAGCCCGCATCACTGAGCATCCTCGTCCCATTAACGCAGATGACAACCTTTCCAGTACTGTTGTCACCGAAGATTGCTGCTGCTACTGCGTACCTGAAGCAGTCTCAAACAATCCGCCGGACAAATAACTGAAAATCACTAAAAATAATACGCAGAGGGATAAAGGATGCTATCAGGAATTGGGTGGAGAGTAGTAGGACAGGGGTGGAGGGCCGAGGGACTAGCCGCCGTAGGGAACAGCGGGACTGGGTGCTGGCGGTGGGCGGCGGGACTGGGTGCAGGGTGGTAGGATAGGTTGCCGGTGGAAGGCCGAGGAATTGGCTGCAGAGGAAAGGCCGCCGGACTGGCTACGGGTGGACGGTGGGGAGGGGATAAAATGTCTGTGGGGAGCAGCACGACTGGATGGACGGAGGCAGGAGAGGTGCGGATGGAGGACCACCCGATCGGCTGCGGGTGGAGGGCAGGGGAAAAAAGTGCTGGTGAAGGGCCGAGGGATTGGCTGCGGGTGGACGGCGGCGGGACTGGCTGCGGATGGAGGGCGGTAGGACTGGCTGCCGACAAAGGGCAAGGGGACAGGGTACGGGGAAAGGGCGAGGTGTTTGGGTTCGGGTGGAGAATGAAGAGGGGAATGTTGCAGG